GGTAAAAGTAAACTTAAAAACTTGAACTTAATAGATCTTCTGAACTTATCGTACTTAATATATTCTGTATAAAACATTATTCTGTTAAGCTTTGGGGTGGATGAAATTATCTTTTCTTTTATTTTATTATGTTTTAAAAATAGTACCCTAAATAAAATATCATGTTTTGAAGAATAAAATCTGTCATCCAGAATTTTTTTTTAAGTATCTGTGGTGTAAGTAAATAATATTGGTTGTTTGGTTTGAAAAAAGAGGAAAAAAGATGCTATATGTCTGTTGGAAAGCTTATAAGACTTTGTTATTGTAATTACATTTGAGGCTGACTAACTCAGAAACAGGAAACTTTTTTTCTATTAGAATATGCTTTCTCATGATATGATTCCGAGATCAGAAAGAAATGGACAATGATTTGTGGTTTGAAAAAAAATTCTAACATGAGACTAGTTAGACCATTTCAACAAAACCAAAATTATTTTTTTATTTATTAAAATGTTGTGAATATTACTTACATGCTTTTTTAAAGGAATTTTTTGGCACTGAAGTATATTAAAATACAGGAATAGGTTGATAATTGTATTTGAAGTTTAACCTTTGTTTCAAATGTCAGATTTGTTTGTTTTTAAGAAAACTACAGACAGAGGACGATTGATTGATATGAATAACTTTTATGTAAATATACCTGTTAAATTGTATTCCTAGCAAACTCCTTTCTGAAAATAAGATTAATTAGTTTTTAAATTATTTACCAACTTGCTGGTGTTTCAAGATCTTTCAAAAAATTACAAGTAGATCACCTAATAATGATAACCAATGTGTGTCTGTTCTCTAAAATACTTTAGAACACAACTGACAAGACAATTACTTTTCTCCTTTGCTCTGTTTTCACTCAGCATCTATATAATATATATATAGTTGCTTTGGATTTAGAATGATCATTTAATGTAGCTAATTTGGGAAGTGGTAAAATATTCTAACAGTTTTAACAGATCAATAAGTTATTAGTTATGTTGATGTCATTTTCTTGTGTCCAAAAAGACAAAATAATTGGAAAATTTTAGAGTATTTGAAATAATATCAGCAGATTAAAGTATGTGCAGCCAAAAAATAAATATTTGTTACATCTTGTTGGTACTTTCAACATTGATATTTCAGGTACTTTGTCAACTATTAACTAACTATAATCTTTTTTTTTCTGGATTTTTCATTCTTTTGGTTTTATGTTTTCAGCATCTTAATTCATTATATGTATGGTCACTTGTATGAAGTTCACAACATATTTCATATTCTTTATACTCCAAATGTTGCATCCAGTCTTAATATGAAACACTTGGCTTAATATGTTCTTCATACACATAGTTTGAATACAGATAAGTCATACTGGAGATGGAGCTAGAACAAGTGCATAGAGCAGAGGCATGTTTCTGTGTTGAAATTGGATTTTTAAAACTAGAAAAATATTTCATAATTTTGTAGATAAACAGAATGGTCTAATTTATTTTCTCAGATATAAAACATGATATTCAGTAAATTATTAATGCAAGTCACTGGTGTGTGTGTGTATGTATAATTTTTAAGTTCAAAATTTTAAATAGGAAAGTCCTTTAACAAAAAAAATTAAAAAATATTGGTTACTCAAAACAAATTTGGAACTTAAATTTTTTTTATAAATTGCATTTATATTGATCTTTTTTAATTTATGGAAAAATAATAATATTATAGTATATCTTTCTTGGTTTCATATCTGAATTTATATAGTTTATTGAACTTTTTTTTTTGCTTGGGTAATTATTTATTATATATGAGAATTCTTTGTAGGCATTGCAAGCTGTCAAAGAGGATTCCATGAATAAATAGTTTTCTTTAATTTTTGGAGTGGTATGGTGTGGACAGAGAGAAAAATGACCCAGGAAAGGATTGGCCGAGGGGTAAGCTTTCAATATAAATTTGCACACGTACTGTGGATATCGGAGGATGATAAGTTAGGGATGGGTATATATACAAATCTGAAGTTATTGTTGTGATGATTGGACAGCTAATGGAGAATGTTTGTGAACTAAAATATTTCAAGTAAAGATAAATGATAATGGAAGAAAAGAAAAGGAGTAGTTGAGATGAGTGTGAGAAATGTTTACTTAAAACATAGAAGTAATGAAGATGCAACAGGAAGATAGTGAGATTATAAGAGAAAGGGGATGAGTAGTTTTAAGTACTGTTCTATAATTAATGAGGCTTGTTCTTTATTATTTAAGATTACATGGTAGAGTTTTATATTTATAAAATATATTATTTGCTTCAAAAAGTTGCAAAAATAAATTAACTTTTAGTTTTAGGTATTTTTTAGATATTGTAAATACTGTTATACTAAAGATTATCATAAAAAGTTAAAATAAGGCTGATAAGTTTCTTTGCTTGTACATAGGGAATGGCACCAGGAACTGAAGTAGTAGCAAGGTACAACTATGATGCAAAATCAGAAGAAGATTTATCTTTTCAGAAAGGTGACATAATGACAATCGTAAGACCAACTCAGGTATTAAGAAACTTTGTCCAGTTTTATTTGAGTATAAAAATTGTAAAGGGTTTCTAGCCACCTAAATTTATCATTAGATGCTCAAGACAAGTCACATTCTTATTTGCATGATTATCCAATAGAATAGCAGAAAACTGGAATGTTAATACATACACATGAAAGGCTTCCTCTGTAAGTTAAAACAGAATTCACCTTTGTTTATTTTACAAGGTGGGTGTAAATAGTAGGGAGTTGTGAAAATTTGAATTCTTAAGTCATTGACAAGTAAAATAGTTATTACTACATGGACCACTTGGTATTTGTTAAAATTTGAAAAAGAAAGAAGGCAGTATGTTACTTGGTGACTCACACACACAAACAACACACACACACACACACACACACACACACACACACACACTATGAAACTACTCTCACCCAGTATCTTTACCTCATCAAATGAGCAAAATCAATATTTGAAATTTATTTTATGTTGTTTGAAGTTAGTCATATAATTACATTAAAACGTATAACAGTTTATTGCTATCTGATGTATGTGTCTGGAAAAAATTTTTCTTTTCACTTTTTTTAGGATAAATGTAAATATTTTAATTGAGCTACTCTGCTTTTTCTTTTTTTTTAGTGTGTTATAAGTTTTAAAACTTAAATTGATAGAACGATTAAGCAAAATGATTTATCACATCTGAGGATTGCAAATAAATTCAAATTGAATTTTAATTAGGGGATAAAAATTAATGCTATAGAGGTTATAAATTTATCACTTTTCAAAGAGATGATGTACAAGTAAATGCTGAAATGGTAAAGATTTTAACACTGCCTTCTAAGTTTTGAACTGTTAGAATTTTAACCCTATTGCTGCAGTTGGGGTCATCATGTTTGTTGACTTACATTAAAAATTTTATTTAACTACTATTTTATGAATGTATTCAATATATTTGATATCAACTTGTAGATTATAATTCAAATATTATACATTAGCTAATTTCTTGATTTAAAAATAAATATTAAAACAAATGACTAAATATCGTTTTTTGTGTGTCACATGGTATATTGAATGCAACTTTGATTCAGATTAGATGTTTGTGATGTCCAAATACAAAGTCTGTAGTTTCTCATGAAATAGAAACTCAAATTACAGATATTGACAAGCTAGAATATAAGATAAGAACCTCCTATCTTTTCTATTTTCTGAGATATTATATTTAGCAAATCAAACCCACCTCTTCTGTCTTTGGAAATGCTTGTTTATGTACACTAACTTCACTTTATGATTTGTTTATAACCAAATGAAAGCTCAGAATTTCCCACATGTGTTTTTCTCAGCTTTTGCAAAGTGTCTTCACAGGTAAACCCATCTTTTTTCATTGTAGACTTGTAGAGAAAGGGTAAGATGAAATGTTGCTAAAAAAAAAGCAATATTTGTTTAGACTTGGATACAGTTTAGTTAGTAAGCCGGGTTAATTATAGTGAAATTCTGTGGTATTGATATAGTAATTTATGATTTTTCGTTATTTCAAAATGCAAACATAAAATGTAAAATAATTATTTTGTTTTACATACTCCAAGTGGAAAATTCAAAAAGGCTTAACAAATTAAGGCAAGCGAGTACAAATTTTGCAAGTAGAAAAGATTATTGTTTTCTGTATTTTTTTTATTTACTGTTTTATGTTTTAAGAAAAATAACTGAAATATAAAAATTTATTTGTAAATAATAATAATAATAATAACAATATATATACATATTATATACACACGTACATACATATGTAAATTTGATTTTATAATGAGGAACCCACTTTACAGAAAAATAAAAGTTTGGAGACAGCTTGATTGGGTAATGAAGAAAACATTCTTATAAATGTATGACATTTTGACAAGATTATATACCTGATGATGTAATGTATTACAATTGAAATGTGATTGTATTTTACAAAATACTGATCCACTATAACAAAGCTAAGGCAGTTGCATATTCTAAAGGTCAATTTTATATTATTGGATATGGTAATATAAAGCTGCACGTGCCTGCATGCAACTTCTGTAATGTTAGTCAGACACGGCTGAAAGGTCAACATTATAAATATAGATGTGTAATGTTATGAGATTTAAGCTATTTAGAGTAAACATTTGTGGTTTTGTGTTATAATCTGCAGTCATTCTAGAATGAAAAAAGCATAATTTAGATCTATTCTCACTTTTTTATGGTGGTTATCAGGTCGGTCAAATCCATCAAACCTGTACGGAGATAAGATAGAGAAAATAACATATAAAATATAAAGTTTTTTATTAATTTAGGAGGTTTTAGAGGTTACACAAATTAAATTTAAGATTTTTTGAGACAAAAGTATCATTAATCTTAATTCAAAATTCACTTTGCACTCTGACTAGTCTAAAAAATGTTTGATATATTCATGGACAAATCTTTAGTAAAAATACTTCATTAAAAATATTTGATTTTTTGCATACAAATGACATGTAATGTTTCCTAAAACATTGTATTAAAAGTTATAGTATATAGCACCAAATGGTTATGAGGTCAGTCCCTGGGACCGAGCCTGTAGGGAATGAGTTGTTTGGTATGCTTCATTGGATTAATATTACATACATCAGGGATCCATTACTTTTATTTGAGGAAGGACTGAATTTATATTTATTGTGGAAAAAAAAATAACATTTTTCAATAAACTTAAAATTTAGTACCAAAACTTGATTTTTAATTATTTTGTTTTGTACTTTTGTATTGAAGGACTATAAACAAAAGTATCTAGAAAGCTAAATTAAATATTTTATTCCCTTAATAAAATGCTTCTCATTTACTCATAACTTCTCTTTGGTCTTTTGTTTTGTCTGTTACAAATATAATTTTTTCGGGGTTTTTTGAACCCCATATTGATATTGAAGTAAGATATCAATTAAATGACATGATTATCAATAACTCAACAGTACATTTTTTATAAATACCTTATTTAAATTATTGAAATACTGAGCAAGAGAGATGATAGTCCCTTTAGAAAATAATATTGCAATACTTTTGTATGATACTTAGACCACTGCTATGTCTGGTGTGTCATAGCCGGCCTGATGAGCCTTGTTGGCACTAGATATGACGGATGTGGTGTGGTTGACATATTATAAAATATTTTCCCTCGCTTTCATTCGTGGGTTTTAGAAAAATTAATGTTGTTTTGTTTTTATACTGTGGTTCCTGATTCGTTCCAGGAAGAAGAAGATTAGTTTGCTAGTTCAGCAGTTCTTATAGTAAAAATAATAATAAGTAATTAATGTTAAGATGAAAATGTTATGTTGTGTTATTAATAGTCACCCTAAACTTCTGATCTGTAAAATACTTAAACTTGTTAGTAATTAAAGTTCACTAGCTTAATCTATTTCACACTTAGACCACTGCTAGCCTGATGTTTTCTGATATTGGGTGAAGGGCTTCATTGGCAATACGTTACACAGTGAATGTTGATATATTTTTTCTTTTGCTTTCACTCTTGGGATCATAGGAAGTAACAGGATATAGATAAGTTGTTGTCCACATGAGTATTCTTACTTCAATTCATTTAGAAGTCTGTGTTGGAAATAAGCTTAAAAAAAGTATAACTGAATATGAAAGTTATAATTGAACTTGTATGTTAGGAATCTTGAATACAAGTATAATGCATTTTTTTTAATGTCTACTTTTACCTAATAATATCAGTTAAAAATTAAAACAAATATACCAAGAATAACATGTAAAGGGAAACATTGGTTAATAAGTGTATTCTGGGATACTTTTAATTTTACTAAATTGTGGATAATTATATATGAGTGATATTTATAATGGCTGGAGACGGCTTGAATGGGTAATGAAGAAAAACTTTAATATAAGTTTAACATAACAGCAAATGTACAAGGTTTTGTCATCATCAAGTGATATTTATTTTTCCAGATAAAATAAGGTGTTTTCCTAAGAGTAATTTAGTCCAGTTTTTGAAACATTTCATTAAGAGTTTGGAAATTCCAAAATACCTCTGTACACAGAACAGCTAGTCCATTTGGTAGTACTTAATTATATTAGCTACAAAATGCTAATATGCAAGCAATTTCTTAGCTTCTTAATAAGAGGCAGTCCTGTTTAGATGAGTAAGTAAACTAATATTAAAATAGTGAGCTTATATTATTTATGAAACTCATTTCATGAAAACAGCCTGTATAAGCTTCAGACGACCATTTTTTTGTCTTGTCTTGCTAAGCGAAAAGTCCATTTTTATCCTACAAAATAGATTTTAAGACAGTTAAAACCATACTGAAGCCAAATATCCTTCCCACTCTGTGAATATGTTTCACAAATGTATAATCTCAGAAAGTTAATGTTTCATGACAACATTTGTAAAAAAAAATTGAGGTAGCAGCCCAACTGACATCTGAATGTATAAAATATTGAATTTCAAATAGGATTTGTACAAATAAACATAAAATATAACTTGTATAAACCTATGTTTTTGAAAGTCAGAGGCTTGTAAAAACTTGTTTTATATTTGGGAACCTATATTGTAAACTTTAATTTTTTTCAAAGGTACTAAAAAGCTTGTAATATTTTACAGGATCCAAATTGGTTACGTGCTCGACATGTTGATGGAAGAGAAGGTTTGATTCCTGCCATCTATATCTATAGGAGAGCTGAGGTGAAACTGAATGCAATGCCGTAAGTAAATTAATTCTAGATTGAAGTGTAATGTAGGCTACTTGTAAGATTAGGGAACAGTGAAATGTATTCAAGAGTTCTTAAACAAGTAAACAGACTTAGAATCTCTTTGGACCAGGTTTTGAAAAAGAGAAAGTTTATCATTTATGTAGGAATTATTGAAGACAATTGTTTCAGTTTAAAGACCTAGAACAATGAAAAACTGTTCAAGAAAACTGTGTGTTTCTTCTATTACCATTACAAGACTAAATGTATATTTATATAATATGCTTTAGGTCATTATTCTTTGACAATATTTTAAATTTACATAATCAGCTGGTTATATAAGTTTAAGGTATGTTTTTTTTAAACCCATTATAGTGATTGTCTTTTTATTTATTAGGTCGTCAAGAAATTAATGTCGCTTTTTTTAGATGAAAAAACCTGAACAACTTGTATATCATAAG